GGTGACAAAATTGAATTATTGGTGTACCAAAGGTTTGTTCATAAAATACCCCATTAAAAGAAAAGCTAGTCGAATCTAAAATTAACTCCACTGCGTATTTAATTGATCAAAACTAAAACTAGTATTATTTTTGATGTTGCTCCATCTAGTTTCAATGGCCTTGATAACGAGAAAGAGAACATTATTGAAGGATAAAGTAAAAGAAGCAAACTGAACAAAAATAAATAAACATATAAGAAAGTCAAAGTTGTTAAATTAATTTTCTCTTGCATTTACTTATTTCCGTAAGGGGGTGAAAGGGTTATTGAAATTAAATCTCAAAATGAGATTATTCAATTTTAAATCTTGGCCGTGACCAAGTAAAATATTGGTGCCTTGTGCATAGACACTTAATCCTAACGAAAAATTTAGTTTCGTTAGGATAACGCATTGTCATCCGCGAGTTGGCTCTACTGCCTGTCTTATATCTTTAAATTTATTGTTAAATTAAGTTTAAAATATTGTCATAATTACATTTATATTTTTCGTATCTCGTTGCAAATTAATTGAGTTCCTGTGTTTCCTATAAAAATCATTTCTCCAATTTCTTTTTTCTTAAAATTACTTTCATTATGTAAAATCGTCACACGAATTTCGAGCAGAATTTCTTCTAACATATTTGTACTAATTACAAATATATTATCAAATTAGAAAGAATTATTATCACAAATAAAAATACGAGCGTTAATAAAATATAAGTTTAGTAAACTGCGTCACTTGTCTGTAAGTAAAATGTTCTTTTGTTCTAGAATTTCTTATTTTTTATCCAAATGTGCCGAATAATAATAAAATTAAATTATAATTTTTTTATTTGTTATACTTTATTAAGTAAGTTATTATTTAAGTATAATAAACAATAAAAAAATTTAATATAAATACATATTTGTATAATATAATTATATATATAATATAATTTATACATATAAAATTAGATTTTGCAAATATAGCACTGATTATAAAGCAATAACAAATAAAAAAATAGTAATATACATACATAATATTCTAAATACCGTATTTGTAGTAATATAATTTATATATATAATAAAATTTATACATATAAAATTACTATTTTGCAAATATAGTAATGATTATAAAGCAATAACAAATAAAAAAATATAAATATACATACATATGTTCTAAATATATGTAATATTTAAATATATTTCTAAACATATATTTACATGAATATTTTTTTAGTGTAAATGTAAATCGATTATTGCGTTGTGAGATTAATACAATAGTTATGTTATAAAAAAAAATCTATAAAAAATATATTTCTTGCAACTTGAAGATTGGAGAGCACAAAAATAAAAACGGCAATCATGTTTCGAATGAATAAAAATGGCCGTTCAAATCCTTAAGAAAAAAGTCAGTGTAGTTTTATATTTTGCAAGCACTATATATGTTTCTGAGCAATTTAATCATTTGAAAGAAACTGTTTCATTAGTTCAATATTTAATTTTCGATTTATTGAATATCAGATCAATGTTTTGTAAAATAAAAGAGTGTATAATATGGCTCTTATAAATGAAAAATTTTAAATTAAATATACACAAAATATAATTATGGGTTTAAGCCACAATTTCCCAGTAAAACACCTGTAACATATGCTACACCACCAGACAAGACTGCGCGCGAAGTACTTGCGGAAAATTTTCCCATCCGTAAAATCATGCACTCGTTCGTACCTTTGCCGCTACGCGGCGTCTTTTTTCGCGGTTAGAATTCCGCCGAGTGAGGATATAAGGCCACGCGCTGCAAAGTCATTAACAAATTGGTACTCTGAAATTACGAGCAATTATTTTTCATTGTATAATCACGAACGTATGTATATACACGAACGTAACGATGGGGATACCCGAAATATGTCATACCGACCGTGCAATAGTGACAGTCTACCCGTACACTTGTTTCTCTAAAGCGAACTCGACACTTGGTTCCTGTCTCTTCTTTTACACACTCGTTTGTAAGACGATGTGCTTCTATTGTCCACCCGCGCTTTTTCACTGTCCGCGAGAGTCACACGAGAATCACTTTCTCCGTTTTACCTTATCGTCCTCGTTATCTTCACAATCCGGCTCGAAGGACCATTTACTTCTGTGCGAGAACCTTCGATTTGTTTTAATTTTCGCGCAGAGGCAAATTTATTTATAAGTCGGCTCGTAGATCCAAAGGAGACTGGATGCGGAGAAAATTGTTAAAGGTGGAGAAATTCACTTTTGAGGCAAAGCAGTTTTATTCAAAATCTCGCAGGACAAGATTAAAAACGCGGAAGTTCGCTCTAGAACGAGATAAAGCGCGCGATGCTCTTTTCGCTGATATACACGGAGACGTCTTTCAGTTCAGACTCCTCGAGTAGACTCATTTTGATCCTCGCGGAATTCGCACCTAAGGGGGCGATCGATCATCCGATCGACGCGTGGCACACGTGCTGAAATCCTATTCGCGGACGATTGCCCCATCACGCTCCGAAACGCGAGACAAAGACGAGTTTTTGTAGATTCCTCGCTCGCGGAATCGAAAACAACCGGAATAACATCTCGGCGTCAAATATTTTCAATTTCTACGATTGACCTTGCTCGTCGCTCCGAAAATACGTGACAATTTTAAACAACAAGTTGACGCGCAATTAGCTGCGTTCTTCATCGACCTACGAGCCAAGTGATTCACCGTTCAGGGTAATCGTTCGAAATTTTTGCGTTCGCGAAGAAACGCGCTTCTCGTTCAACCATCGTGGTCTCTTCTCTCGGACGAGAGAGAGAGAAAGAATAATCGTGGTGGCTCTTCGATCAGGCTGTCCGAGACGCGCGCGGACCGCCGCCTCCCGCCAGGGAAGGCTACGGCACAAAGGTAGAGTTGTGTGTTTCTCGATCGGAGCGTCTCTCCCGCAACGGGAGAGCCGGGGCGGAGCTTTTTGAAGAAACCGTCGGACCGACACAGTTGACAGATAGTCGAAATATCATCGATCCTTCCTGTATTATACAGGGTGATTCAAAACAACGTTTGTCTTTAAAATGTCGTATTCCTGACTCAATTTAAAGACGATTTTCCTTGCCAAAATTTTATCCGAAGCTAGTTTTTGAAATATAAAAAGAAATAGTAGCGAATTACAGCACAAGTACGGGCGGTTAATGGAGCGGCGCACCACATTATCCGACCGCGGGCGATTACGTGGGCGCTCGAAGCGATCAGC